TCTTGTGGCAGCGTGACCTACTCTCCCTTTGTCTGTCTGTCTCTGTATTTCTCTCAGACACATTTATGTACAGCTGACCCACTTAGAGCTTTTAAAAATGGTTAAAATCACTGAACGTGCCCAAGCAGAAGAGAGGCGCAAAACAAGGCTAGACTCTCCACACCCTGCTGGGAAGACTGCTGTGGATGTGTGTGAATGTGTGTGTGTGTTTGGTGTTGGCATGCAATATTTTCTCCAGTGTATATAGCCAACCCCCTCAACCCACCATTTCAGCCTTGAAGGAAGGACATGAACACACAAACAAGAGAGAAAAGAGAGCGATACATACATATAGGGGAGCGTGGGGCACAAAGTAACGCAGGGTTAGTTGAAACACAAGTGGTTTGAATATTTCCACACAAGCTAGCATAACAAAATTTACAGTATTTATTAGTTACCATATCAACAATATAAAGAAAAAAATGTGGCCCAAAATTCACAAATCTTTTGAAGATATCGCTGAACATATTTTTGACCATAGTAAAATTAAAATTCTGACTTAATTTTTCATCTCAGTTTTTATTATTCATTTGAAATAAGACAAATCTGCTATTATTTTAATCTCCAATCTGTTATTTATCAGTTCAGATCGTTTTTTAATGCTTCGATAACTAGCAGAAGACACTAACCAGTTTTAAACTCCAGTTGCGCAGATGGGGCACGTTGTAACACTGCGTTACAATGTGCTATTTTTATGACATTAGCGATGTAATTTACACTATTTACTTTAATGAATTTGAATGAGAAACAGGTGAATAAAGACTGACAGTCAATGTTTAGAAATGATTATTTCAAGACATGTAAAGCATTTTTGCTCGTTGATGTGGGCGGTCCCCAGCATGATTGCAGTGTGTTCATTGTCAAACTCAAAAAATCAGATTATTTTTAATTCTTAAAAAATGCCATTATTTTATTTTATTAACAAAATATTTTAGTTTGTCTTGTATATTTTTTTTAATTCGATCAGATAACATTTTAAGCTGTCATATGGTCATGTTACAACGTGCCCCTCAGATGTTACAATGTACCCCACCTACGGGGCATGTTGTCACATTTCACTTCCATTTTTTGGAACAAAATTACCAAAACTTACAAAATTAAACTGAAAATATAAAAAAAGATATTTGAAGCTAAATTAATAAATATTATAATAGTATTTAAATAATACAACAACAACAGCACTGGTGGAGATTGTTAATGGTGGGAAAGAGAATGTCTTTGTGCATGAATACAGTCAGACTAAACACAGCAATTTGTCATACAGTATATACACTTTAGTCGAACTAAAATTCACAAATTCAAACTAACAGACCCAGATAACACAACTGCACCTCATCTTCGTTCAGTATGCATACAAAATAATCACTGACTTCAGTGCTGTGGCAATGCTTGCTCTGAAAGATGTATATTTAATCCTTCAAATGTTCAGTTATGCTTTGTGTCATGTACTTAGAGATGATGACTGTATTTTGACTACCAAAAGTCTCAACATAATATTTTCATAAACAAAACATTCCAAAGCCAAATCATCTATAAGGACTTTTAAGAGAGATCAAAGTTGATACTGAGATAGCACAGTTCCTAAACGAACCCTTATAAATTCAACTCTCTCCAGAAAACCACGTCTCCACCTTGCTTTGATATCACACAAATGCCTTCCTTCTGACCTCAGATTCACCAAGTCACTTAACCATCAATTTAGCACTAGTGAAATGACATCAAAAATGTCTCTAGTCACATAAACCAATCAGCTAAAGCCCCACCTGGGGTTCTCCAGCAACCACTTAAACACACAGAGAGGTAGATAGAAGCAGCTATGCTTGTGACATGACAGCACACACCACAGACACAAACTAGGCATGTTTATAGCCTGTAGGCTTTGTGTGAGAGAGTGTGTATATTCAGTACATGTGGTCAAGAGGATACGGGGTAAAAAAATATTCTCCACTGCTGCTGTGAGGGCAATTAAACATCCCTCTCTCTCTCTCTCTCTAAAATCCCACATAGAAATGTACTTTCTCGACATTTAACAACCCTTGTCCCAATCCTCTCTCCTCTCTTTCTTGCTTATTCCTGGTTTACAATCATTAGTTCTGGGCTTTTTATAATAAATTAATCGCTCTAAAGGTTTTTTTTTCTTACTTTCCCGAATGGAGGAGTCTCAGAGAGGTTACAAAGATAAAAAAAGCAATCTCACTTCTGCTTTTGAGCTCACAGACAAACAGACTTCCTCCACAAACTGTAAGCATGACAGAGAGAGAAGAGAGAGAGGTGTTCAGTAGGAGGAGGGAATCCCCACTTGAGTCAACGACTACAAGAAAGCTGCTCCTGCTGGGAAAATACCTGTGTTGCTGTAGAGTTCTTGTGAATTACGAGTCTTGATAACAATCAAACATTTGTTTTCTACTCGTTTGTGCTCCTCAAGGAAATAGACGTACATGGTCTGTTTGTTATAAGTAACGTCACACAGATTTACCAAAACGGTTTCAAACACTTTCCTATTAAGTCGTTTCTTGTGTAAATATATACATATGTGTTTTAAATAAGTTAATTCATAAAGTTGTATATAATTATATATTATATATATTTATATAGAAATGTAAATCATAATTCCATTTATGTAAATATTATATAATTACAAATAAAATATTATTTGATCACATATAAGGTTTTTTGATCACCTTATATGTGATCAAAAAACAAATATAAATAACAATATAAAAAAATAACAAATATATTTAATATTTTAAATATGTTTAATAACAAATAATATATAAATATATATATGTGTGCGACCCTGGACCACAAAACCAGACTTAAGTCGCTGGAATATATTTGTTGCAATAGCCAAAAATACATTGTATGGGTCAAAATTATAGATTTTTCTTTTATGCCAAAAATCCTTAGGATATTAAGTAAAGATCATGTTCCATGAAGATATTTTGTAAATTTCCTACTGTAAATATATTAAAACTTAATTTTTGATTAGTAATATGCATTGCTAAGAACTTCATTTGGACAACTTTAAAGGCGATTTTCTCAATATTTAGATTTTTTTGCACCCTCAGATTCCAGATTTTCAAATAGTTGTATCTCTGCCAAATATCCTATCCTAACAAACCATATATCAATGGAAAGCTTATTTATTCAGCTTTCAGATGATGTATAAATCTCAATTTCGAAAAATGGACCCTTATGACTGGTTTTGTGGTCCAGGGTCACATATATAAATTAATTAAATACATAAAAAATATTATTTATAAATGTTAAATTCAAATAATGCAACTTCAATTAACAAATAACATTGAAATCAGAATGTCCAACATTAGAAATGACTAAAAGGACAAAAAACAACAACAATCTAATCTCAGTTCAGAAAAAAATTCAATATTGTGAGTTGAGTAGTTAAATGTGGTTTTGAATAAAACTGAATTAGACCGTCTTTGTGTGTGTGTGTGTGTGTGTGTGTGTGTGAGAGTGAGTGAGTGAGTGAGTGAGAGTCAGTTTTGGGGGGATAGAAGTTTTGAGTCCCTCTTTAGTTTGCAACCATGCATGTCAAGACACTAAAGAAACTGGCCCCCTTTTCTCTTTCTTCCTCAATCTCAGTCTCCTCTAAAATTCATTATCTTTTATTGGTGTGATGAAAGAGGACTACTGGGCTGAAAGAGGGGGATTCTGTCTTCAAACAGACCGCCCCGCAGGAGACCGAATGCACAGCGGCACTTTGAAACTCTATAGGCATACACATTTACACACACTGCCTTTCTCTCTTTAGCATGGATACACACACACACACACACACACACACACACACACACA